AACTGAATTTAGTGGATGAAATAAAATTATGGATAAACTAAGAATATAAACTGTTTTAAACTAAAAGATAGCGTCGGGAAAGGAGCTCAATGAAAACCAGTTCATCGATAAATTGCTGTACAAACTGAATAATGAATCCGAATGACTAACCAGATTTAAATTTCACAATAGTTTAGAAATCTAGCAAAAGTTTGTGTAGTTGGTTTCAAGTGAAACGATGTGACTTTGTGTGAACTAGCCAACATTACAATCAAACGGCTTAAATACAATTGCATTCACGTACATACAGTTGCTCTTCGTTTAAAAATATTTACATATTTCGCTCTGAGAATTCATTCATATTTCCTGAATCATATTATGCCCACCTTTTCTACTACTACTGATATTGTAATCACTTCTATGAATCAGGCAATTATCCGATCTATTTCATCTGTCTATGCTGATATGATCTAGCAACTTGAGGCGATGAACGGATTGTGCTTATGACTGACCAGCTGACTGACTGATTAGGTCGTACCATGTATTTTGCCAAATTGAAGTAGACAAGTGATATGATGACCAAAGAGAAAACCTAACAACCAGGTCAGAAGCTATTACAGGGTGAGTAAAAAACAAAAATAAATCCTTCCAATCGTTTATGCGATATATGCTTAATTTCAAATCAAATAGGCATCAAGGGGCAACGTTAGCCCTCTGAAGAAGTAATCTACACTAAGTCTTTTAAAATCTGAATTACAACTCATAGGGATATTACATATTTATCATAGTGTTTATTGTTGTGTTATTAACTAACGCATAAACCTATTATTTTACTAGGTAGGAAAACTGATCTTCTGGTTAGTGGTCTTACCTTTTGATATCAGTTCATATGGAGAATGGAACCCAGAGTTCCAGGGCGTGAATTTTGACGGTTCGGCTATATCCCATCGTTATTGAAATCTCATCCACTAAATCATAATCCACGACAGTAGTTGAAAATTTATCAATTTAAATATTGACTAATTGTCCGACAGAACAGCCGTAAAACTATTTTTAATATCAACATCATCATCTTAATAAACGAACTGTCTTAATGTACGGTGTCTTGTATTGGTTCTATTTATTTATTTAGACATACACATTAGCAGGAAGCGGCACCAAAATATATATGCGCCAAGAGAATCGTCGCATATGTGTGTTGGCTGATGTACTCTTCAGGGTGCCCAAACCGAAGTAGGTGATTTTCCTAGGTCAGTCCCCAAATCTTGAATAAATAGGTCGAACCCGCAAGGTAATGTCAAAACGCTAGGAAACGTGGTCCAGTGGCCACCGATGGTCAACAGTAGATTCGTAATCCATTTATTCCCTCAGGATCGCATATGCATTATTCGTTTGTTAAGTCTTAGAGGTGGATCTTTTGTACTCATGAACTCCGTCTGAGTACTGTACATTTTCCCTTTATTCACTTGATTTCGTAGACAAAGCACGTGCGGTGAGAGGGTAGTGGCTATATACGCGTGACTATATGAAAACATTTTGGGGAGGACAGAGGACTCTCCCCATCCTCGATTGCAACGACATCAAAATAAACTTAATAGGTCGACTATTGACAACTAAGGAGGATTGTGTGGCTTTTTCTTCCTATTATCGGATTCCTTAACACTTCCTATCTATAACCTCACCAAGGGTCGAACTAAGAACCCTAGGGCATTGTAGAGCTTAAACTTTAAACCACTGAATCAGCGATCCATAAGTGTCTAGTGCTTCCTAGTTTTCAATGTTTGTCTAATTAGGAATAATTCATGCTGCAAACTGTGAAATCGAAGAACCCTAGTACAAACTATCTATACTAAAAAAACTAACCAGTTTATTTTTCTTTCTTTAATCAAAAGACGACCAGATTTTTCCTTAAATAATTACAATCTTTTATTGAAATCACATACTGCTTGTTGATTTTCGTCCAACAATTTTAATTCACTAAAAGGACTAATTAATTCTTTAGATTCATTAATCATTGGATTTATTTTCATTAATAATACTTCAAGTGAATTGAATTTTTAGTTTAAGTTTTGATATACTATCAGTGTCTTATTATTAAATTGTACTTGAGCTAATTTAGATGAACATGAATTTCATCAATAGTCGACTGATAATTAATTATGTATTATGGAATTTCTAATACTATTCACTTGTATAATGACTGTGAACGTCCATCTAACATATTTAATTTATTAAAATCCTTGCAAAGATTTTCTGTACATATTGTATAAGATTCTAAACTTTAGCCAATTGCAAAATAATTCTAAATAATTTGAATGTGGTTCATCGTTGAAATCTGGATATATTAGATTTTTAACTGTATTGAATGGCTCACTTAAAGTTCTCGCGTCTAATTTAATTTGATTGTATGTAACGATTTGAAATCTTTCGGTTAATGGTTCAGTGGTTATCTTAGAACTCAACAGTCAAATGGATACCACGATGGTGTTTGAAGCGAACGGTACTGGGTTTGAGTTCCGGAGTGGACATTAACTGAGATGTAGGTACGTCCTGCAGACGAGTCTGAAAGAAGATCAAACACGTCCTGGAGGACACCGCTAGTCTCTGCCCACTTATGCTAATACTAAGTTGGTTGCACAGTTTACAAGATTATCGTCCGGTTGTTTTACATGACCTCTATTGACAGTATTTAGGAAAATTGGACACTTAAGTGTTTGTCTGTCCTGATCTAGATGCCTTAGAAACATATGCCTGAAAATGTTTTGAAACCCCTTCCATTATGCATGAAGCTACCTGAAGACTCTCTTACTGCATTAAAAAATAACAATAGTTAATAGATTGTTTAATACTGTAAACGGCTGGTTATCTATGATCATCAGTCAAAAGGCTTACGGCACAAACGACTATGCTATATATTATCTACGGAAGGATAAAACTAATGCATGACCTGATTTAACAGTACATCAGAGTGATATACACTTTAACCAGGATATTTGATCTTTGGTAACTAATTCACGGATTTGAACGCTAATCAATCCACTTAAGCCTGTGTAATAGGGTAGTACTACTAGCCTTTAAACATGGATAGCGGTTTTTACTCGGGTACCTCGTAAATTAATTAATTAAAATGAAAGAGAAGACAACTAATGAATCAAACCACTGAAATTAGAAAAGGAAATAAAGCAAGGGCTTGTTTCTGCTTGGTAGATAATAACCCTAGAGCTGCTTAAAATGCATGACATTATTTTCACTTACTCTAAATTTTACTGTCAATTAATATTCTAAAACAAGGACATAGTAACACTAAAGCTGCCTAAAACGTCACTACGACAGCCTTAGATAGTGGTTCAAGATTAGAACTTTGGAGTGGGGTTTATCTAGTTTAAAACATTTGGAAGGAATTATCGGTTTTGTTAATTATGACTTTTAGGCAGAAAAATGTATTTAGAGACCTGTCAAAAGTTAGGGCTATTTATGACAGTCGTAATATTTGAATTTGCGTTAAACGTGCCATTTATTGGCAGCATACTGGCGATACTAAAATCCCTATGTGAAAAAAATTCGTCATCATCAGGAACCAAGGATCATTCATTTATGTTTACCCTGAAAGTTGTTCCTCTGGGTATTTTGTTCACTTAAATAAACTTTGCATGTCTATATATTCATTTGCACATAACTCGTATTTTGTACAATGATGTATTTAGAACTAGACTATGCAAAATCAAAAGACATTTTTTAGCATAAAAGAGGGGGGAACTCGTGTGATAACTCTAAGACTAGAGGTAGTAAATAGCAGCTGACACGAGGAGGAAACAAAGATTACACTTCAGCCAAAAGAATATCATTGTTTTTGAACAACACGACAAAAATATACCTTCAATGTATGGGTATATTTAACAACCAGAAATAGACGACTCTCCATATTTAGATAAGTAATTATGATACTTTACAAGAATCAAATGTAAAAAAAACTTGCAAAGAATCAAGATTTTTTGAAGTGCTTAGTAGTAAAAGTCAATAAACTGACCATAAGTCAATACGTTAGTTTATTACGAACAAGTGTGAGCAACAGTTTTATTACCTCATCATGAAAGCTGCCCCTCAACTTTTGTAACCTCATATCACGGTCTTTGTTTCGTCGACTCTTCACATAATTGTTTCACGCACTATTCAAAATCCCGTCAGAAAAATCCAAACCAAAATAATTTACTGAATGTGTGCTATTAGTGTAGCGTGCTTTCGCAAGAAAAAATACGGTTTTCTGTATTTATTTCAAACAGAATACACATGAAAAAAGCTTTAAATACACACTCAATCTTTAAATATATCGTGCTGATAAGTTGGGCCTATAAAACAATCATATATCTTAACGGACTGCGAAATATTTTCAATGTCAAACAAAAGACTGTACGCTGTTTTGGAATATAATAGTTACTGAAGTTATTTCCGTATTTCATAACATATTGAAGCCAGCATGGAACAATCCTACACTCACTAGATGATTCCTCGTAAGGGCTGACTTGTTACAGAGTTTGATGTCTAAAGTCTGCTCAGTAGCGCCGAACTAGTGATGATCTCATATAGTAATAAGAGTAGACATCTCTACTTGTTCATACTCTATTTGCTAAGAAACCTGGAAAGAGTGAGGAGTCAAGACTTGAACAAAAACATAACTTCGGCTTTAAAGACCGTACATCAACCAATTATTTTTATGGATTCTCAGTTTAGTTAGACCTGCTAACAACTAAAAAAACACTGTACTACTGAATCCAATATATATGAATCACGGCACATGACTGTCATTGTTAGTGATCGTACTACTTACATATGTGGGTTTACCCAAGACGTTTCTCTAAAAATAGATAAACATTTTTAGAAAATCATGTTTCATAATAACCACGACTAAGTCACATAAGAAGATCAACCTACACCCAGTTCATTAATAATCCGAAAAGTATTATCAATCAAAAAATGCGTTATGAATGCACCAAGCCATGCACAATGTTTTTTGGAAAACTAACCTTTAATAATACAAGAAGCCACTGACAGGAATCGTTCTCTATCGATTTCATTTATACCGTAAGGCTTAAGGACCATCGAATTTATATATTGTCACACCAAAAAATATTTAAAGGTTTAGGGGTCTCTTAACAAAATAAATGCAAACAGCGATGACCCCAAGAAAATGATATTGGCCTCGTAAAATGAACCGAAGCATATGTTGAAGCGTTTTTTGGAAAGGCGCTAATAAACGACCCTGAATATATAACAGAATCTTATCCTAACAAACACTCTAATTCTCTTAAGTGAAGAGTTTCCTAACATATTCATGAATCCATATGAATAGAAGACTAAAATTCCATTGGCAAATATTTCCAATACCCAGTATCTTTTTCACTAGCTAGTATAAACCAAATGACTTCTTTGCTCTCTACTCTTTTTTTTTGGTACAGTTCGAGGTAGCTTGTAGAGCTACTAGTGGAAAAGTGGACTTAAGACATCGGAACTAACAATCATTTCTTGTAATAATGAAATGTCAAGACTTCTAGCCATATGCCTCTGTCAAATGCTTTTTCGTAGTCAAGCAAGTGGATGTACAGTGATGAGCTCCGTTCAGCTGATTGTTCCAAAATGATCCCTAGTGACATGTTTTAACCGGTACATGATCGATCCTTATGAAATCCAGCCTGTTGATCTGAAATCTGTACGTCTACTTAGTTATTCACTCGCTTTAAAAACACTGGTACTGATGGTAGAGTGATGCCTCTGTAGTTCTCACTCTTGTTGAGATCGCCTTTCTTGTTTCCTATATTGATAAGGTGTTCTTTCCAAACTGTTGGCACTTGTTCATCATCCAAAATCTTGCTGAAGAGGATGTGGAGTATCTTTACGGTTACTGCTATGTCTGATTTAAATGCCTCAGCTCTGTGTATTGAGCTTGTGCCTTTTCTATCTCCGTTAATATTCGGCTGGTTTTGATTACTGCCTTTTTCTGTTACTCCTTTCTTGAATCTTATCCAGAGTACTAACAGTGATGCATTTGTTGTGATGGTGGTCCTTGCGGCCCAAAAATTCATGACATGTTGATGTGATTGCCTCTTCGATCCCTTTCCATTTGTTCGCCCTGTTAGTTCCCTCTTGATTGAGCAGGTCGTGAAAGGCCTGAAACCTGTTACTGAAAACTATGTCGAGTTCGTTGATTTCGTCAGCATTGAGACGCGAGGCCATAATGAACTTGTGTGATGTTGTTCAAAGTGTTTACTAGCAAGAGGTTATCCAACGCAATACCACATCCTGCATGGTTCATTTGAACATTTTATTGATACTGATATGGTCGATTTGGTTCTGTTTATTTGGATCACCTGAAACTCACTGAGCGCTGTGTATGCGTTTGTGTGGGAGTATGGTGCAGCCTATAATCAGTTTGTTGAGGGCACATATGTTTACAAGTTTCTCACCTATTTTCATCCCTTTGTCATAGTCCATGTTGTCTCATGGTTTTTCCACATTTCATGTTGTCCATTCCAATACTGACATTTAGGTCTACCATCTGAATGGTCAAATCCTCTGAATGAGCATCGCTTGACGATTGACTTCAGCATGACGGGTTTAGACATTTACACTTCCAACTTCTTTTACTGTGTTATGACCTATCGCTCTTCGGTAATGAATAAGCTGCCACGAACAATCAAATTCATCGTCTAAATACATGTTCCTCGGAAACCTCTATTATGTTGCTAGGAGATTAATTTGCATTGACTTCGTGTTTTGCAATTATTTTTATGCGTTTCTTGTCTCTGGTATTGATGTTTGAAGAATATATGAGCAGTATTCAATGGGAGGTCTTGTACATATTTTCAAGAGGGTAAACTTAGCCTCTTTTTTCAAAAGGTTCTTATTTATGGACTCAATTTGTCACCTAGATTTGTAGATAATAAAATTGAGGAGAAGGAAGATATATACAGAATAAAGCAAAAGTCCGTTATTAGACACGAAGAACTTTAACATGCGCTGCATTTCTGAAGTTCATATATTTGGCATATGTCAAAAATGCAGAGGTAATGTCTTCCATAACTGTACATATATCTAATATACCTATATATACCTTTTTGACGCGACTGCTGAATAAGATATTTTCATCGTTATCTTTAAACTCGCATGAAATAGGTACATTACGCCGAGAAATAGAGAAAGATATGAGAGGAATGAACAAACATTGGACAGAAGTGGAGAGAGAAGCCCAGGACAGAGTTGGTTGGAGAAAACTGGTGGGCGGCCTATGCTCCATTGGGGGTAACAGGCGTAAGTAAGTAAGTAAGTAAGATAGACTTTTTAATGCAAGACAAGTTTGACAGCTTATCAGTCCGCTGACCTTGCGACATCCTTTTATGAATAATAATAATTTATTTATTCTAAAACAACAGCATGTTCGAAGGGCATACAACTGAACAGGCTAGATCAAACTTTCATCGTAGTTATCCCATAATAGAAGCCTATTTTGCTTGGGTTGTAATTCTTCCAGCCTCAGAGGAATGCCCGATCTGGCTGTTATAATTTTAAAAATGTTATATTTTAGATGCTTCTTAGATGTTTGCCTCGGAATGTAGATGAAAGCAACCACATGGTTATAAGTGATGCTCAGTCATACATGTTCATACAAGTGCGGCAGTAATAGAATTTCAGGGATATGGACAGGTTGTTGCTGCTAAAATGACTCTGTTTGTTAAATAATATAATGAAACGTCTTGACCTAATTAAACGTGACCAAACTCGAAATTATGTGGGGCGTTAGAAACGACACCAAGTGATACATTGATAGATGTCCGGTTGATAACGAAATGCAATAAATAAAATTTCCTTCGATTCCCAGAATATCATGCTTTGGTTTCCAGAAAGATCCCACGGGCCTTGTTTGCACAATGATATTCAACTCTATGGAAAAATCAAAAAGGCATAAAGAGGTGCGTGACACACCGCTGTGTTTCAAGTTCTTGAAATGAACTTAAATTTACGAATGAAAGTGCATCAAATCCATTGCTTCAAGCACACACCTTCTTCGCCCCTCGTGTAGCCTAACCTATGTTTCAGCAATGTTATGGACCCATTCGGTTTTCAAATTCGATACTGTAATATTTAAAAATGTTTAGAGATATAAATCATGTCTTCGCACAATATTGAACAACCAAAACAATAAATGAAAGGTACTGATAATCTTGAATTTTAGCGACTGTCCGGAGGATATAGTTGTCCGCATCAACTGCTATCTTTCAGGTGGATTAAATGGCAACATGCATGTCATGGACGGAAACGTTAGACGTAACTTTGTAGCAAAATTTCATGTTCTAGTGTCTGGGAACAGAATAATTGCAAACATGACTGTCTTTCATAAAGACCGGTTGAGCGAATACTGAGAAATTCTTAGAAAGGAAAATACTCCAGCTGAATTGTGTCTGTATAATCCAAACTGAGATTTAAGAATAACTGTTCACGAAGTTCAGATACGCGTTATGCCCAGTTTAATTCCAAAACAAGTGATCTGGGTAAGTAACGGTTCTATTATTAATCATAAATATAAATATACATCGTTGCTTAAATTTATTACCACTCATTCCTTTAACAATAACACAGAGTGTTTCCGATTCTGTGAGAGTGCTCCAAATTCCAATCCAAACTGCACACTTCCAGTCTGTGTAACGGCACCAACATCCAGGGGAACAAAATCAATACGTCTGTAGCAATAACTAAGTATCAACGATATAAAGCAGACCGAAAGAAACATAGAAACTCAAAAAGGCACAAAATCTGTGACAAAATGCAAATATTATCATCCCGAAATTGAATTGAACAGATTACCAAAATGTAGAACTGGAAAAATCAATAAGGACATATGACAAATTTATACATGGAGAGATTATCCCAAACAAAGCCTTCCAAAATGGATTCTACAGTGCCTCCTTTTTAAGAGTCAACATGAAAAAGAGTAGAGCCCATCGAGTATGTCCTAGCTGTGCTCTCATTCATTGTTGAGGTACAGACTACAGATTAACTCATAGACTACGACCCCAATCAAGAAGTTAAAAATTCATTTCAGGAGATAGAGCGTATTCGTGAATTGAGAGTAACCGACTAAAATATGTCGTTCTAGTAGTATTTGCAACAAAGTTCTACCAGGCATTCAAATTAAGGGTTCCAAGGTTGTATTCTTAAACCAAAAAGCCGAAAGAATGAAACCGGAAACGACTAACACCTGAGCCGCAAACGATCTCAGTAAAACAAATCGTCAAAGGCCCAACAAAAATTTAGACCGTTACCGTGAATTTCAAAAGTTAAATACTCCGCGATCATCTTGTAACACTACCAGGCAAGAACAATTTGATTCTTACCACAGACAAACAAGTGATCAGCATTGTTCAGTAGAACAATAAGCATTATTACTCTCAAAATAACTATCAAACTAACGTTCAGAGAGCTACACTTCTATGAGAAAACAGTAGCACGTCTAGAGACTTTCATAACTACGTGACTCGTAGAACTTACATAAATGTGTAAAACCATGAGGATCATCACTTACCACCTACTAACTAAAACGTATACAGCATTCTGGTGTCTGTTGCAAACATTCCTCTGAGAGTTAGAAACATAATATCAAGCTTATCCATTCTTGTTGCATATTACCCCGCTAGCTAGACCTGAAAACCGATTAGTTCTATCAAAGAAATCAGAACAACTTAATATGCAGCCCTCTTCTCATACAGTTTTATCTCTAATTAGAAAATCATACTGGAAGTGCTTGGGATACACACTGAGGAAATCACCAAACCGTGTCAAAAGGCAAGAGCGTTCTTGGGATCTTAAAGGCCAAAGAACAAATCGTGCCGATTATTAGAAGCAGAAATGAAAAGAATGAACTGAGATAGGATAGAACGCAAAAAGAGAGGCTAAGGACAGAGTAGCGTGGATAATTCCGGTCTTTTGACCATGCTTCATGAGGGGTAACAAGTGTAAGCAAGTTATTAGGTTGGTGACCAACTCCTATGAAAATTAAAAGAACAAAGTGTACAACTGATAACTTCGGATTCGAAAGCGAAGGAGAACTG